AGTTTAGTTTAAGTTTAGTTTAAGTTTAGTTTAAGTTTAGTTTAAGTTTAGTTTAAGTTTAGTTTAAGTTTAGTTTAAGTTTAGTTTAAGTTTAGTTTAAGTTTAGTGTTACTTTACTTTAGTTTAGTTTTAGTTTACTTTACTTTACTTTACTTCTTTACTTTACTTTTTATTGTCATTGCACGTCATACCATGAAATTAAATACCATCTTCATTATGATTATGAAAATAAACACAAACACACATCCTTCACATTCTGTACATTGAATTGAAAACCCGATATTGCATTCATATTGCACTATACGGTATAATTCAATAGGGTTACTGCCCTGGGATAGAAGCTGTTTTTCAGCCTATTTGTCCTTGTTTTTATTATTTATTATTTTAAAAAGGCTCCAAAGATCTACACTGCTCAAAAAAAATAAAGGGAACACAAAAATAAGACATCCTAGATCTGAATGAATGAAATATTCTCATTAAATACTTCATTCATTACACAGTTGAATGTGCTGACAACAAAATCACACAAAAATTATCAATGGAAATCAAATTTAGCAACCCATGGAGGTCTGGATTTGGAGTTAAAGTGGAAAAAAATTAAAGTGGAAAAAAACACTACAGGCTGATCCAACTTTGATGTAATGTCCTTAAGACAAGTCAAAATGAGGCTCAGTAGTGTGTGTAGCCTCCATGTGCCTGTATGACCTCCCTACAACACCTGGGCATGCTCCTGATGAGGTGGTAGATGGTCTTCTGGGGGATCTCCTCCCACGCCTGGACTAAAGCATCCCCCAACTCCTGGACAGTCTGTGGTGCAACGTGGTATTGGTGAATGGAGCGAGACATGATGTCCCAGATGTGTTCAATTGGATTCAGGTCTGGGGAACGGGCGGGCCAGTCCATAGCATCAATGCCTTCGTCTTGCAGGAACTGCTGACACACTCCAGCCACATGAGCTCTAGCATTGTCGTGCATTAGGAGGAACCCAGGGCCAACCGCACCAGCATATGGTCTCACAAGGGGTCGGAGGATCTCATCTTGGTACTAATGGCAGTCAGGCTACCTCTGGTGAGCACATGGAGGGCTGTGCGGCCCCCTAAAGAAATGCCCCCCACACCATTACTGACCCACTGCCAAACCAGTCATGCTGGAGGATGTTGCAGGCAGCAGAACGTTCTCCACAGCATCTCCAGACCCTGTCACGTCTGTCATATGTGCTCAGTGTGAACCTGCTTTCATCTGTGAAGAGCACAGGGCACCAGTGGTGAATTTGCCAATCTTGGTGTTCTCTGGCAAATGCCAAACGTCCTGCACGGTGTTGGGCTGTAAGCACAACCCCCACCTGTGGGACATTGGGCCCTCATACCACCCTCATGGAGTCTGTTTCTGACCGTTTGAGAAGCCACATGCACATTTGTGGCCCGCTGGAGGTCATTTTACAGGGCTCTGGCAGTGCTCTTCCTGTCCCTCCTTGCACAAAGGCGAAGGAAGTGGTCCTGATGCTGGATTGTTGCCCTCCTACGGCCTCCTCCACGTCTCCTGATGTACTGGCCTGTCTCCTGGTAGCGCCTCCATGCTCTGGACACTACGCTGACAGACACAGCAAACCTTCTTGCCACAGCTCGCATTGATGTACCATCCTGGATGAGCTGCACTACCTGAGCCACTTGTGTGGGTTGTAGACTCCGTCTCATGTTACCACTAGAGTGAAAGCACCGCCAGCATTCAAAAGTGACCAAACCATCAGCCAGAAACCATAGGAACTGAGAAGTGGTCTGTGGTCACCACCTGCAGAACCACTCCTTTATAGGGGATGTCTTGCTAACTGCCTCTGCTTTCCACCTGTTGTCTATTCCATTTGCACAACAGCATGTGAAATTGATTGTCAATCAGTGTTGCTACCTAAGCGGAGAGTTTGATTTCACAGAAGTGTGATTGACTTGGAGTTACATTGTGTTGTTTAAGTGCTCCCTTTATTTTTTTGAGCAGTGTATATTCATCAAGAACAGACAGGTGTTTTCTCTTACCATTTTTTTTGGCTTTTTTTAACTTTTATTTTAATTTAATTTTTACTTCAATTAAGATCCACTTAGTTGAGGGTGCTTTGTCCTTATGCCTGTCCTTCCCTGGGAAATTGGTGACTTATGTTATGACCATTCTTCAACTTACAACAAGTTCATTTAGTGACCGTTTGAAGTTCGAAGTTACAGCGGCAATGAAAATACTGAGTTATGACTATTTTCCACACTTCCGGCCATGGGCATGTGATCAAAATTCAGATGCTTGGCCACTGACTTGCATTTATGACGGTTGCAGAGTTCCTGGGTTCACATCATGATCCCCTTTTGCAACCGTCTGACGAGCAAACGAAGGAGCCAGGCTCACTTAGCAACCGGGTTAAAATCTTAATTTTCAGTTTGTGAGCTTTTTAATCTCCCTACCGGTTGATACATTCCTCACCAGAGAACGAACATAGCTCATGGAACCACCATCTTCTATAACATCCCTACACTTTGATCAGTTAGTAAAATCAGGGGTCTCCAACCTTGGTCACTTTAAGCCTGGAGGACTTCAACTCCCAGAATTCCCCAGCCAGAACAGCTGACTGGCTGAGGAATTCTGGAAGTTGAACTTGTGGACTTCAATTCCCAGAATCCCCCAGCCAGCATCATTCTTCTTTTCATTAAACCAGATATATCCAATTCCTTTCTTTATATATATATTTAACCTCTGGTCTCCTAATCCTCTTTGTTGCTCTTCTCTGCACTCTTTCCAGAATCTCAACATCTGTTTTATATAATGTTACACCTGGGTGTCACACATGAAAAAGTTACTTTTACAATGTAAAGCAGGAAATGAGCATCATTTTGAACCATACAGTTCTTGGCTGTCCTTTTTGCAGTTCCCATGTTTATATAATGCACAATGCCCTGACATCTGCACTCTGAAACACACACACACACATACACACACGTGTTATTCTTTACTACCAGCATAAACATAAATATTTGTCTGCTCACAATGCTCTTTCAATAATACATATGAGTGAAAACTGCTCCTTAGCATTGTGTGGTATAATTTTTCTCTCTTCTTGTTCTCCCCAATTCATTTTTTCTGTATGTTCTGTAGTTATGCCACGTTTTACTGAACAATAGAATAGAATAGAACACTTTTATTGTCGTTGCACGAATACAATGAAATCTGAAAGCTACTCCAGCACAGTGCCCCAAACACCACATCACAATCACACTACAGAGTATTTAAAATAATAATAATAATAATAATAATAATAATAATAATAATAATAATAATAATAATAATAATAATAATAATAA